TCGCCACCCCTCGCAGCTCCGTTGCCGCCCCTAGTGGCCCCGTCACCTGCTCGTCGCGGCCCTCCCCCCCCCACCCTGGTCGCCGCCTCTGCCTCCCCTGTGCCCGCGCCTACTTTGCAACAGCGCGCGGGCCTGCCTTGCAACTGCAGCCGCCCCTAGAGCAGCCGCCACTGCAGCAGCCGTCCCTGGAGCAGCCGCCAATACAGCAGCCGCCCCTGGAGCAGCCGCCACTGCAGCAGCCGCTCCTGGAGCAGCCGCCCCTGGAGCAGCCGCCACTGCAGCAGCCGCCCCTGAAGCAGCCGCCCCTGTAGCAGCCGCCCCTGGCCTTTGGAGCAGCCGCCCTTGCAGCAGCCGCCCCTGCAGCAGCCGCCCTTGGAGCAGCCTCCCCTACAGCAGCCGCCCCTGGCCTCTGGAGCAGCTGCCCCTGGCCTCTGGAGCAGCCGCCCCTAGCCCCTGGAGCAGCCACCCCTGCAGCACCCGCCTCTGGCCACTGGAGCAGCCGCCACTGCAGGAACCGCCCCTGGCCCCTGGAGCAGCCACCCCTGGAGCAGCCGCCCCTGGAGCAGCCGCCACTGCAGCAGCCACTATTGGACCCGGTGCAGTCGTGGGGGGGTGGGTATGGGGGTGGCAGGTGTGGGGGTGATGGGTATGGGGGTGGCGGGTGTGGGGGTGATGAGTGTGGGACAGGTGGGGGAGGTTGAGTGGAGGTGGCCGCCGTGTCGTCAGCAGCACCTGTAGTCCGGGGCGTTGCTCCAGTAGCCCAGTCTTAGCCAGCTGCGCCAGTCGCCCGTGGGTCCGTTGCTCCTGCCGCTCGTCTTAGCCGCGGAGCCAGTTACTCCAGTAGTCCGGGGCGCTGTTCCGGTAGCCGCTGTGCCAGTGTGACTCCTGTTGCCCGTGTGTCTGCAGCTTCAGCCGTCGCCTCCCATCTCCTCTCCTGTCACAGTCCCTCCTCCTCCTCACTTCCCCTCTCCTTCTCCTGCGCTTGGTGTACCCCTTCAGGGGGCGTTGACTGCACATTCTTCCCTACAGGCACTTATGGGGGCGTGTCAGACCAATATATAATTCTATATATTGTTCTATAATTGCGTGTAGTGTAGAATACTGTAGTCATATAACTTTCTAGTTGGTGCACATTGCATGCTCTGTTTGCTATATGTACTCTTGTGCTATAGTGAACATTCATTCCCCTCTCAACTTTCTCGACACTTCTCCTTACCCTCAAACTCGATCACTAAGCTACTAAACCTATGGCTCCTAAGACTACTCATGCTTAATATCTTAACAGCAGCCTGGTGAGTCCAGCAGTGCAAAGCCGAGCACCGATGACTTGGGGGGGGATGGTTGACACAAATAACTAGCAGGAATGAGAAACAGGCAAAGAGGGATTGCACTAGCAAGCAGGTGGATACACATAGAAAACCCTAAGGGGCCGTACTCACTAGAGAGAACCCCTCTGCAAGCTAGACAAACTACACATTGTGACACACCCCCATAGTCAAAGTGGGGTATGATCAGCAAAACAAGCAGCCGTTCATAGTTCACAAATATAAGCAAAGCTATAGGCTATCACAGGGGGCAAGTGAGAAGGAGGAGGAACTGTGAGAGGAGAGAAGATGGGAGGCGGCGTCTGAAGCTGCAGACACACGGACAACAGGAGCGGCACGCACAGTGGCTACCGATGGCACGAGGGCATCGGACTACGGGAGTATCTGGCTCCGCGGCTACGACGAGTGGCAGGAGCAACGGACCCACAGGCGACTGGCGAAGCAGGCTCGCTGGGCTACCGAGAGCACAAGGGCTCCGGACTATAGGCGCTGCGGACGACAAGACTGCTGCCTCCTCTCAACTTCCCCCAACTGTTCCACACCCCTTTCACACACCTCCTACTGTACCCCTAGCACTGCTCACACGCCACCCCCCTAGTACCACTCCCACGAATCCCACACATCCACCCCCCCTCGGCAGCAGCTGCAGCAGTGGGAGATGGAGGAGGAGGAGGAGCAGGGGATGGCGCACACACCCGTCACCCCCATACTCGCCACCCCCAAACCCTAACACAGGCAGCACGGGGCGGGAGCGGATGCACGCACGGCAGGGCAGGTGCGCGCGGGCCTGGCGCAGGCTGAACGGGCCGCGCATGGGCCTGCCGCAGGCCATACGGGCCGCGCGCGGGCTGTACGGGTCGCGCACGGGCCTGACGCAGGTCGTACGGGCCGCACACGGGCTTGGTGCAGGCCGTACGGGCCGCGCGCGAGCTGTACCGCCGCGCGCGGGCCTGGCACAAGTCGTACGGGCCGCGCGCAGGCTATACGGGCCGCGCGCGGGTCCCAGGGGCGCTTCGACGGGTGACGGGGGGCGACGCGCAAGTCCCGGGGGGCGCTTCGACGGACGACGGGGGGCGACGCGCTGGTCGATGGGGCAGGAAACCGCCGTGCGCCCCGAACGCGTGGCGGGAAGAAAAAACGTCACGCGCCACGGGGCGCGCGACAGATAGGACAGCAGCGGAAGCTAACGGTGGGCCCACAGGCCATGAGCGTAACCGCTCTGATAGCATGACGGAAATAACTAGCAAGAATGAGAAACAGGTAAAGAAGGATTGCACTAGCAAGCAGGTGGATACACATAAGGAAACCATAAGGGGTCCTACTCATTATAGAGTACACCACTGCAGGCTAAACAAACTACACATTCTGACAATGGTAGCGTGTGGAGACCAGGGGTTTCAGCACTTTGGGTAGAGCGCTCTGTCAGTAGATCTGCACTGTGGATGCCCGATTGATCCTGGAGAGGGTTACAGGCGCGTTCGCCTGGGGGGTTATGGGCGCACTGACCCGCTACTGAAACAAGCTCTTTTTATCCCTATGGTCTAGTGGTTGGGATCCTGACATGGTATCAGAGCGGTCTCAGTTCGATTCCCGGTGTATGCACATGTAGGTCGTTGCCGCTGTGCTTAGTCCTGGGCCTCCCAGTGTGAGGGGGGTGTTAGTAGATCTGCACTGTGGATGCCCGATTGATCCTGGAGAGGGTTATAGGCGCGTTCGCTTGGGAGGTTATGGGCGCACTGACCCGCTACTGAAACAAGCCCTTTTTATCCCAATGGTCTATTGGTTGGGATTCTGACACGCTCCTCATTACATAGTCCTCCATGCAGTTAAGGGAGATGTCAAATTTATAATTATATATAACTGCATGCTAGACTAGAAGTGTAGTATCATTTAGTTTCTTTGTTGGTAGTGTATCCCCTTTCCCCACCTTCCCTTGCATCTAGATCTTGTATTGTTCTCGTTAGTGAACCCCCATCTCTCTCGTAATCCTCGTTATGAACACTGGCTATGGCTCCTTGCCTTAGCTCCTACTTTGACGTAAGTGATTGCAAGAGAGCGTGGTGACGTTAACAATAATAAGTGAAGTGGGATTCAAAATTATAAAAGACAAGTGCGTTTCGAGGGGATGGAAGCTAATGCGCAGTGTTGAACGCAAATAATTTGTTACATGTGCAATTTACCAATGTATGGATGAGATAAACAGTCTGGCATTTTTGTGACAACAACGAGCCTATGTCCAGCCCCGTCAGCTAGCGATTTTGTCGTTTCCATGTTCCAGTCGTAGGTCCCTACCATCACCTAGCGTTTTGTTGGCTTTGCCACAGCCTGAGTTAGGGGAAAATTCTTCCTCGTTACTTCCCCATCGTAAGGTTGTTGCGTTGTCGCCGTACGACCCAAGGACGGGTCGTACATACTTTTTGTGCGACCCGCCGACCACTCTCGTCACGAACGCTCGGTGGGAGACGACGGAACATTCGCAGAACATCCTCGCATGCGACGGTCAAACATGTCGCGCCCCGTGCTTCACACGGGGAATTTCGTTTTCGCGCCTCGAGCTGCTGCATTGCTTCGCGGAAGGTCCAACCAGCCAGAAATCCAGCGAGCTTCATCAATCAATCATCTTGCAACAATTCATACAATAGGCACAGCCAAACAACCGCCTATCCCAGACTATCACACAACTACCGACCCACCAACGCACTTCAGCTTCTTTCGACAGCCGAAGGAGAACCGACACCAGCTTACAACATCGTCATTGTTTAGCTTCCGATACCTTAGAACTTTGGATTCAGTATTAGCCGCATTAAGTATATTCGTTATGGATTCCCTCATCTCTTGCTCTGCACCCGTTGAAGCTGCCAAGGAATTCCTAGACACCGACATGAAGCAGCTGATGGAACTCGACATTCGCGATCGTCACTATAAGGTTACTCCCGTGAGAGGCCTATTTCTCCCAAATCACAGTTTCGGAGGGAACAACGTGTGGAGCACGGTCCCTCCGAAGGGATCCCCGCACAGCAGCGCGGATTCGGGCGACCACGAATGCGCTGCTGATATTAATGCAACCAGCTGCGATAGAAATCGTCGCTCCAAGCTTGAGATTGACGTGAGCGACAGTATTAGCGACAGTATTAGCGACAGTATTAGCGACTGCAGCGACGAGAACGACGACTCGTCCGATTCCTCAGATACCGCGAGCGTGGATTCGTCGGACGAGACCTGCTCCACCGCGTCCACATTCTCCTGCTTCTCGCCGCGCTCCGCGGCCTCGACTGGCGACTCGTCAGACGGCCGCGCGTCGCCCCGATCCGTGTTGCGGCAAAATCTCGTCTCGCATCATCGGGAAGTCGACGTTGGTGACGATTATTTCGAAGCTGAGAGGCGCCTGCGGCCTGAAACCCTAAGCGCCCGAGGCGCGTGTTCTGACCGCCGGGAAATTGAGGAGATTAAGCTTCCGGAAGACCTTTACACTCACGAGGTTCCCGCTTCCTTCGCCAAGGTCCAGAACAACTCATTGTCCGCGAATGCTACGAAGAATGCTTTCTCCTCCGATAAAAGAGGCCCATTTGTTCCTGTGGGTCGCACAGGCGCTCTGGGTCAGCCAATCAGTTTCCCTGCTGTGCACGCGTCAGGCGCTCCGATCTTCCCGCCATCCCTCCACCACGGGTTCCCGGGATGCCCTCCGCAGCTTCTGGCGCAGCAGCAGATGAACCAGATGTACTGGCAGCAGATGCACCTGAACCAGATGCACCAGAATCAGATGCACCTGAACCAGATGCGGCTGCAGCAGGCAATGCACCTCCAGCAGCAGCAACAGAGGGAGTGGATGGAGCAGCAGCACAAGCGCTTGCCTGTTGAGATTGAGAGGAGCGGAGGAGAGAGGAGGAGGTTCCAGCCACCACGCTTCCTCCAGCCCCAAAGCGCTGCAGGCACTGGGGTCTTTATTCCCCCCCAGGCATGATGGACTGGTATATATAAGCCGCCTCAGCTGAATTCTTGGATGCTGCTGCTGGTTACCGTGCATGTAATGCACAAGGTAACCATCAGCAGCATGCCAATATCATGGGTCTCTGCTTTCTATTGTAATGTATTTGCCTGGGTTGGTGTAGAATCAATGCCCCAAAGGTATACATAGTAGTAGTAGTATCCATGCATCTTTGAAGCAAAATAATGAGCCAAATTTTCCTATATTCTGTAAATAAAGATTGAAACAATTTGTAATGCTGGGATGTGTTGTCCTATTTTTCTGAAGCAGTTCATGTAGCGAAGTGCTGTGGCCGAATGGGGGGAGGCACTTCTGATTGGCCATCGCCATCGTGGCATGACATTTACGGCTGCTGCGAGGTTGCCACTGGCTGGGGAGTGGCTCAGGGCAGAACCGCTTCCACGTGGAACTCGAGAGCCACATGCACAGGCCGGTTCATCCACATTTTCGTGAACTCTACGCGACGTTTCGCAACGAGTCGAGAGGCCTCGTGAAGACCTTTTGGCTGCTGTATCTTGTTACGCATCACGTCGTTAGGCTTCGCGAGGACGCTATCGATTGTGGTTACGTTCGTGTCGCAACATGCGTGCAAACCATGGCCACAGCTTCATCGAGAACTTCAGCTCTGGGGCCTTGGAACTTCAACTTTTCTGCTCCTGAGAAAAGCTTCGGGGATCTGGCTTCCCCCAAGAACTAAGGTCTTCGGAATTGGCTTCAGACTAACTCGAACTTCCTCGGTTCCTCTACTCTGTCTTCCTTCGGACAGAACCAAGTACGAGTGGCTGATTGTGGGTGTCTTTCGCTGGAGTTTAATGATTGTTCGCCCTGCGTCGACCTGCGTTGCTCCTTCAACGCTCTACGTGGCTCTAGTTCCACTCCCCAGTCCTTGCTGACATGGCTTCATCCTGTCCGTTGGCCGCATCAGGTATCAAGTCCTCTTTCGTTGCACCGACCACCAGTCCCATTCCTCCTACCACCAGCAACCATGCTTCCATTCCACGCTCCGCTTATCCACTCCACACCCCCCCTCCTAGCTTCACATCCCACGATACCTCTACCGCCGTATCCTCGTTAAGAGCATACTCGGCGGACTTAGCCTCCAGGAACAACGTGCTGCATCGGGGAAACCGCAAAAACCATTGTCGAACGTCGAAGGCCTCCCGTCGATCTCACGAATCTCCCGCTTCCCGTCAGAGCTTCGTGCATTTCGAGTCGGCCAATAAGTCTGTGAGAGCAGCCGGGAGCCATGTCGCAGCCGCGGCGAGCGACGTCGCAGCCGCTGCTGCGAGCGTCGCAGAAGCGTCGCTGGACGAGCGGGTGGAGCTTGGCGAGCTTGAGGGTCGCGCGAGGGAGGAAGCGGAGGCCGTGCAAGCTGCCGTCTTTCAGGCCGCACAGGAACTAGATGATGTAGCGGCAGAGGCTGTAGCTGCTGCTGATGCTGCTGCAGAGGGAGAGGGAGAGACGAGGGAGGAGAGGGGTCAGGGTTTAGGGGGCGGTTCCGCAGATGGTAGGGCGCGGACGAAGCGGTTGTTGCAGTGGGCGCGGGAGCTACACGGCGGAACTCCCCCCGCGCCTGCATTGCGCGCGCGTGAGAATCGTGTCATGGGCTGCGTCGCGCAGGTGTGGCTCCACGTGGAACTTGAGGAAGACACGTCATCAACTGACGGCACAGAACTTTCCCGTCTCAAGCTCCGCCTGCAGGCCGATAGCGATTCGGATCTGACACGTGGCATTTGCCAGCTCCTCCTAGAGATCTTTAACGGCCGCAGCGTCAGCGCCGCGCTAGCGTTAGACTCCAACGGACCGGCAATTAAAGCCCTCACTGCCGCCCTAAAACCCGCCGCTGCTGGCGCATCTTCCGCTAAGGCCGCCCCCGCTGTACGCACATCCACCTTTGTAAGCCTCCTCCTCTCCCTGCAAAAACGCGCGCGCGCCCTTGTGGCGGCGTCGCTCGGTCGGACTCCGTCAGTGGCACCGTTACCGTCAATCGTGATCGGCCGGGGCGGGTCGATCACCGCTCGCGGGGATTTCGCGGTGACCCAGGCGCAGTACCTCCGCCCAAACGACGCGGCAGTCGCGGCGCTAGTTACCGAGCTATCTAGCAAGCGCATCGGCGTCGTGGCGCATTTCTACATGGACGCGGAAGTTCAGGGCGTGTTGGTCGCGGCGCGCAAATCCTGGCCGCACATCAAGATCTCGGATTCGCTGGTGATGGCGGACGGGGCGCTCAAGATGGCGCAGGAGGGGTGTGACTATATCGCGGTCCTGGGGGTGGATTTTATGGCGGAGAACGTGCGGTGCGTGCTTGAAAAGGGCGGCTTCGCCCACGTGCCGGTCGTTCGAATGGCGGCGTCCCCCATCGGGTGCTCGTTGGCGGACGCGGCGCGGAGCGACGCGTACGAGAGGTATCTTAAGGAGGCGTCGACGGTGCCCAAGTCGCTGCACGTGATCTATATCAACACGGCGCTGGATACCAAAGCCGTGGCGCATCATGCGGTGCCGACTATCTCGTGCACGTCGTCGAACGTGGTGCAGACCGTATTGCAGGTAAGCCAGTGTGACCGGTATGCTGTCCAGGTGGTGCAGTGTGGTGCAGTGTGGTCAATATGGCATTGAAGCATGCGAGTGTGGTGTGTGCAGTGGTGTTAAAGCCGTGGCGCATCATGCGGTGCCGACTATCTCGTGCACGTCCTCAAACGTGGTGCAGACCGTATTGCAGGTAAGCAACCGTCACCGGTATGCTGTCAACGGCGTGTCATTCATATAACGCACGTTGTCCAACGTGGTGCAGACCGTTTTGCAGGTGTGCCGCTGGTTTTTCAAGGAGAACGGTGGGTGACACAGGGAGTTCTGGCTGGCAGCACATGAACGTTGGGTGGTAAAATAAGGGTGCTAAAGCAAGGAACAATTTACCTTCCTTAACTACATGATAATGAGCTTGTTTTGAGACGTCTTGAAACGATGCAACAGGTATCAAAACGAGGATTATGGTAGCTAAGTCAACCACGTGATGATAAGCTCATTTTGAAGCGTATCTAAACGACAAAATAGCTGCTAAAACAAGGAACATGGTTCCCTATTTAACCAACCTCTACCACCCGCCCGCCCTTCATCTCCCTCCACACTCACCCACCCTTCCCTCCCTCCCTTCCTTACTCCCCCTCCCTCCCGTCTGGTCCTCCTTTTCCTTGTCCTCACCCCTCGTTCCTTGGTTCTCTCCCCCCTTCTTTCCCCTCCTTCTCCTCACTTCGTGTGTCCAGCCGTCATTTTCCTTTTCATTGCCATTCTCGTTCTAGAATTCTGGTGAAGCTGCATATCAAAACTCCCTCTTCTCCTCCATTCATCCCCATCCCCCCCACCCCACCCTGTTTTCTCCTTTTCCCACCATCCTGGCACATGTTAAAACCACGCCAGGCTTTTGCCCAAGTTCCGGACCTGACCCTTTGGTACGGACCAGACACGTACATGGGAGCGAACCTGGTCGAGATGCTTCAGCAGCTCTCCACCGTACCTGACGATGAGGTTCGGTTGCTTCACCCAGACCACACCCAAGCCTCGCTCTGCGCGCTCCTGCCCCGGATTAGATACTTCCAGGAAGGTGCCTGCATTGTCCATGACATGTTCGGGCAAGAGGTTGTTTCGCGGCTCCGGGCGGCATACTCCGACTCTTTCCACACCGCACATTTCGAGGTGCCCGGGGAAATGTTTGCATTGGCAATGGAGGCGCGTGCAAGGGGCCGCGGCACTGTTGGGTCAACGCAAAACATTCTGGATTTCGTAACTGCCCGAACGAGGGAGGCGTTGGAGAGGGGTTACGAAGGGGAGAGGTTACAGTTTGTTCTTGGGACGGAGACAGGGATGGTTACCAGTATTGTGCAAGCGGTGCAGGACGAATTGGCGAAGGTTGAGAGCGGTTCTGATGGTGCCGCTGATGTGGAAGTAGAGATAGTGTTTCCTGTAGACAGCTCAGCAGTTGCTTCTACTAAGGAGGATGTGGGAAACAACAGCAGCAGTGGCAGTGGGGGCAACGGCAAGGCAGCAGGGTCAGTGGCAGCAGCGATGCTGCCAGTGGTGCCAGGCGTGAAAGGCGGGGAGGGGTGCTCTGTTACTGGGGGCTGTGCATCGTGCCCCTACATGAAGGTGACTTGACTCTAGGGGGCGGGGGGATTGTGCTTTATGGGGGGAATGGGGGGTGTGGGGGGTGTTGGGGGTGTGGGGACACATGCACAGAGGGAGATGGGTGCTCTGTTACGGGGAGCTGTATTTGAAGGTGAGTAGTATGAAGGTGATTAGTATGAAGGTGATTAGTATGAAGGTGATTAGTATGAAGGTGATTAGTATGAAGGTGAGTAGTATGAAGGTGAGTATGAAGCTTAAAAGAATGGGAACGGGGAGAAGACGCATAGAGGAATGGGATGAGAAGGGTGCTACGCCTCTTTGCGGCTGTGCCTTGTGCCCGTACATGATAATGTGAGAGGCGTGAGGGGGATGGGTGGAATGGGAGGAGTGGGGGAAGCACACACATGCTTGTGGAATGGGAGGAGTGGGGGAAGCACACACATGCTTGTGGAATGGGAGGAGTGGGGGAAGCACACACATGCTTGTGGAATGGGAGGAGTGGGGGAAGCACACACATGCTTGTGGAATGGGAGGAGTGGGGGAAGCACACACATGCTTGTGGAATGGGAGGAGTGGGGGAAGCACACACATGCTTGTGGAATGGGAGGAGTGGGGGAAGCACACACATGCTTGTGGAATGGGAGGAGTGGGGGAAGCATACACATGCTTGATTGAAGAAGGGTTTTGAGACGTCTCAAAACCCTTCTTCAATCACGGGAAGCACACACATGCTTGTGGAATGGGAGGAGTGGGGGAAGCACACACATGCTTGTGGAATGGGAGGAGTGGGGGAAGCACACACATGCTTGTGGAATGGGAGGAGTGGGGGAAGCACACACATGCTTGATTGAAGAAGGGTTTTGAGACGTCTCAAAACCCTTCTTCAATCACGGGAAGCACACACATGCTTGTGGAATGGGAGAATGTTGCCCTGCGCCTGGAAGGGGGAGAATGTTGCCCTGCGCCTGGAAGGGGGAGAATGTTGCCCTGCGCCTGTGGGGTGTGTTTTGTGTTGTGTCCGTACATGAGTGTGAGAGGAAAGGGAGGGATGGGAGGATGAGGAAATAGTAGGAGGAGAAGGGGGGTTGAGAGAATGCTGGGAAATACACACATGCATACAACACTGGTGGCAGCGTCAAGGCTTCCTCATGCCCTTATTCACACACATATGGGCATCTGCGTCTTATTCCGGCTAGTTCATACTCGGAGGAGTGGGAGTCATAATCGGAGGAATTCAAGACCCGGGGGAAAAACGTACACACCATGTTCTCGGGATTAGTTTCTCATTCATCCCTCTCCCATACTTCCATTTCCCCCCTCCCGTTTTTCTTCCATATGAACTCTCCAGACGCCCTGATGTCTGTGTGCCACATGCTGGGTCAAGACAATGCTCTCATGCCCTTTTTGTGTGTGGTTCTCACTTTATCCCTCTTCATTATTCCCCTCTCCCGTTTTTCTTCCATATGAACTCTCCAGACGCCGTGATGTTTGTGTGCCACATGCTGGGTCAAGACAATGCTCTCATGCCCTTTTTGTGTGTGGTTCTCACTTTATCCCTCTTCATTATTCCCCTCTCCCGTTTTTCTTCCATATGAACTCTCCAGACGCCGTGATGTCTGTGTGCCACATGCTGGGTCAAGACAATGCTCTCATGCCCTTTTTGTGTGTGGTTCTCACTTTATCCCTCTTCATTATTCCCCTCTCCCGTTTTTCTTCCATATGAACTCTCCAGACGCCGTGATGTCTGTGTGCCACATGCTGGGTCAAGCACTTCCATCTCATGCCTCATGATGTTTGAGTCGACTCAAAAGTCAACATCTCATGCCTCATGATGTTTGAGTCGACTCAAAAGTCACCATCTCATGCCTCATGATGTTTGAGTCGACTCAAAAGTCACCATCTCATGCCTCATGATGTTTGAGTCGACTCAAAAGTCAACATCTCATGCCTCATGATGTTCTCATGTTATCTCCCTTTATCACTCCCACCCTCTCTCTTTCACCTCAGATGAACTCCCTAAACGCTCTCATGTCTGTCTGCCACATGCTGGGTCAAGTCGATTCTCTGGAACCCTTCATTTGCTTGTGTGGTTCTCATCTCACTGTATCCCTCTCCATACCTCCCATTTCCGTTGGGTTTGCATGTGACTCTTCCAGATGAACTCCCTAGACGCCCTCATGTCTGTCTGTCTATCACATGCTGGGTCAAGCTGATGCTCTCATGCCCGTTTTGCGTGTCTAGTTCTCACTCCATCCCTCTTCATTATTTCCCTCTCCGCTTCTCCTCCAGATGAACTCCCTAGACGCCCTCATGTCTGTGTGCCACATGCTGGGTCAAGACGATGCTCGTACGCGCCTGGCACCCTACGAGCCTGACAAGTTCGCCGAGCCTCTTGGTCCGGGCACGGTGGCGGACCTGGGCTACTTGCCGATCCTCCACATGAGGCATTTCCAGGTATGGAACAGTGCCACAGTTTTTGTCACAACATTTCATTCCACGGCACCATGTCTCTCGGACATGTCACCATCGTGCTATTCCATGGCACCATGTCACCGTGTGTCGGACTGACATTTCAGGCTATTTCTGTTAAGATGTTAAATAGCATGTCATGACCTGTCTAATTCATGCCTTAAAACTGCTATTATTGTTCCCACCCCACCCAACCGCACCCCACCCCCTTGATGCGCCCGTAGAGAAGGGGGCGATTGTCTGAGTCGGAGTCAGCATAAGCCCATCCAATGAATTAACAATGAACCCTGTCCCTGACATTCATACCTGATTTCTGCTATCATTGTTTCACCCCCACCCCCCTGATTCGTGAGCAGAAAACGGGGCGATTGTCTGAAGAGTTGGTTGCCGACATATTGACAAGGAGCCAGAGTCAGCATGAGTAGACGCAATGATTTCCACCCAATGGTTCCATGCAATGATTTCACGCAATGATTCTACGCAACGATTGATTGAATCAACTTTGCGTTGACTTGATATCCGCACCCGAATTCTGCTATTCATTCCTGACTTCTGATATGCCTGAGTTCCTCTCCCGGTGCTTTGGTGTTCATGCTTAGAAGTGGTTGGTACCTGCATGTTTGTTGTGCTTGCATGGATTTAAGGCACAGCAAGTTTAGGACAAGTGCAATACAATGGATTGGCTGTACTGATCACCCTGTGGTTACTGTGTATGGTTGTTTCGGGGAGGAAGTGTTGACGAACATGTCAGGGTACATTCTGCTGTGGACACTGTCCCAATCGAAAGTGTCCCAATCGAGTGTACCGCTCCGAACCGAACTAAACCTGAGACGCGAAAATTTCGACAATGTTTGAAACTAGGGTGTAATTCGGTGTGGGACGATGCAGTGTGGTAGAATCGATTGGGACAGTGTCCACAGCGGAATGTACCCTCATAATAGCAAGCAAGAATGTTTGCATTGAATGAAATGTGGTGTAAGGAAAAACCCTTTTCCTTACATGGGTTTACTCAACCCCGTACAACCCCAACTTTCGGAAGTGCACGTTCGGCCACTTCGCTTGCTGCCGAAGCAACCTCGCGTCGCCTTCGGCCTTTCCTTTGCCCAACCTGCACCCAACCTTGTGTTCCCGAGGTTCCCGCCTAGCTAGGTTGGTCCACTATATTAGCGCGTGCCTTCATTGTATTGTCAGTTCATTGAGTTACATCTTCGTTATTCGTTATTCCGCGCACTCTCTTTTACAACTCATAACACCTGGTATCAGAGCTACTTTCCTAGTTCACCCCGCTTTTCGAGGGTAGTTTGGTGGCACGGGTGTGGTCGGTATAGTGGACTACACGACGGTTGGCTGCAAGGCTTGTTAATTCAATCCTGCTCGACTCCGATAGTTCAAGTTTTCCACTCACCAGAGGGCCACGGATACCCCTCTGCCCACCAGACGAAGTGTGCGACTCATGGACCAGGAGACATTGAACAAGATGCTGGCGCAAATGGCAGAGCTACAGACAACAGTGCAGACTCTATCGGCAGAAGTGACAACACTACGAGGAGAAAACGCCAAGCTACGCCAGACGCGAGGTGAAGCGCGTCAGGAGTCGCCCGATGAAGAAGGCGAGGGCAACAGTCAAGCGGTGAGCAACCCGTTGGACGCGCTCACACGTGATTTCGAAGAAGAGGATAGGCAGCGAGCGGCAGCGATGCCAATTGCAGTAACAACGATCAAGATTAAACCCGTCAACCCGCCCCCGTTCAACCCTATGGACAAGACTACTACAGTGAAGGGGTGGCTTTTCGGCGTTGAAGTCTTGTTCACTGCAGCAGGCGTGAACGACGATGCCACGCGTATTAATTACGCGGTTTCTCTCCTTCGAGGCGCAGCGCTTGAGTGGTGGCGCCGAACCTTGGACACGGGGACCCCGACATGTGTGACACATGCGGCAGACGGGACTGTTGAGAATAGAACGAGAATGAATGAACTATGAATGAAGTGAGTACAAATAGGAAACCCTAACCGGTTGTACCCCCTATGGGATACCCCACTACAGCCTACACAATAGTATAAGCTATATATATGTTCTGACACACCCCCATAGGCAAAGTGGGGGAGAACAAGGGGTCACAAGACCAGTCAAGCAAAGCAAAGCAAAACTCAGGGTGGATCACAAAGTCACCACACAGTCCGAGCACAAGAGCAAGGCCAAAAGCCAGTTCACATGCAAGAGTACAGACATATATATAAAGCTAGACAAGCAAGAGCAGGTATATATATGTCACAGTACAAGTAAAGTCAAGAGGAGAGCAAGTGAGGCAAGACAGGCACAAAACCCAGCTGGGTGCAGAAGCGCTGATGGTCACAAGGCGCGAGTGCCTTGGTGAACACATCAGCAGTGTTGGCCTCAGAGGCCACGTACACAAGCCGCAACTGTCCACGCTACTGTAGCTCACGAGCAAGGAAGTAGCGAAGAGCAATGTGCTTCGTTCTGTGCTCCAGACGCTGCTCTCGAAACAAGGCCAGCATGGCCTTGTTGTCTACGTACAGCACTGGAGGAGAACGAGGCGGCTCTCCAAGGTCAGTCAGCAGGTAGGTGAGCCAGCGAAGCTCCTGTGCAGCCATGGCCCCTGCGTAGATCTCAGCCTCACAGCTGGAGCTGAGAACCGAAGACGAACGAGTAGCCCGCCACGAGACAGAGCCGAAACCAAGGCTGAAGGTGTAACCCTGTGACGACCGCTGCGTAGCCTGGTCGTCAGCCCAAGAAGCGTCCACGTGACCTGTAAGGACCACTAGACTCCGCCCTCCAAGCACTAGCCCCATGCCCGACGTACTGCACAGGTAGCGCAATACCCTCTTCGCTGCAGCCATGTGCTCTGGTCTGTGTCTCCCAGGAGCAACATAGCGTGCAAGAATGCTCAGAGGGTATGCAAGGTCAGGTCGTGTGCAGGTCATCAGGTACATGAGGCAGCCAACAAGCTCTGGGTACGGGCCACTCGACTCTACGGACTCATCCGAAGGCAGAGCTGAGAGTGAGTGGCGGGTAGACAGAGGAGTGGCCTGAGGCGAGGAGTACGTGAAGCCGAAGCGCTGAAGGACCTGCTGCACCATGTGTGACTGAGTCAAGGTAATGGTGCGGCGTGCTCTGTCCCGAGTGATCTGCAAGCCAAGGTAGCTGCGCAGTTCACCCAGGTCTGTGCACGTGTGTCTCTTCAGCAGCTCGGACTTCACGTAGGCGAGTCCAGCAGTGTCCGCTGTGGCAAAGACCAAGTCGTCGACGTACATGAGGATGTAGAACGGCGGCAGTGAAGTGTCGGTGCGCAGAAACAGCGACGGGTCAGCAGTAGAAGGAGCAAACCCAAGAGCCGCAAGCGTAGTCCTCAGTGTGTCGTACCACTCACGTGGTGCCTGGCGGAGACCGTAGACTGGCCGTCGGAGGCTCCACTGGGTGCCAGGAGGGAAGGTCCCAGTGAAGCCAGGTGGACGGCGCAGCCAGATCTCCTCGTGCAGGCTACCCTGTAAGAACGCAGTGCTGAAGTCGAGAGAGTGAAGCTCGTAGTCGCGCTGAGCGGCTATGTGCAGCAGCACCCGAAGAGTGGTCATCTTCGGGGTGGGAGAGAAGGTCTGAAAGTAGTCAACTCCCTGCCGCTGACTGAAGCCACGAGCGACGTACCGCGCCTTGAAGACAGGTGGAGAGCCCGGCGGCCGCTTCACCCTGAAGATCCACATGCCACTGACGATGTTCGCCCCAGGAGGGGGAACAGCGTCCACGTAGGTGCCTGTGGACTTCCAGGAAGCCATCTCTGCATCCATAGCTGCCTGCCACTGAGAGGAGTAGGGACCCTCTACGGCCTCCGCGTAAGAGCGCGGAGTCGGGATGTCTAGTGCATCCGGGTCTCCCTCAGGAGCAAACAGTACAGACGCGAGATGAGGTGAAGCAGCAGCCAGACACTGTAACTCGTCCTGCCTGTCCTCTAGGACGTCCGTGCCAAGAGCACACTCACCCCCGACGGACGGAGGACAGACAGACACAGACTCAGCAACAAGACTACCAGCGTAGTCTAGGCGACAGCGAGCAGCAAAGTCGATGAGCTCAGCGACAAGAGCAGACGCAGCAGTGGACTCAAACGAGGGGTCAGTGACGACAGTGGCAAGCAGACGCGTGACAGTAGGACTGGCAGCACGAAGGGAGTCCGACTGAGGGTCGGCAAGCGCAGGAAGAGAGGACTCAGGAGGAGAAGGCAAAGGGGCACGCAGAGGAGCAGTGGACGGACGCAGAGACATCCGGTGCGTGCCAAGGACAGGAGGAGGACGCTGACGCGAACCGCGACCACTAGCGCGAGCAGCACGAACAGGCGACGCGGGACGAGACGCAGGCTCACGTCGCTCAGCAAGACCTCCAGTAGGACCAGTGTAAGGAGAGGGAGCAGGTAGAGGGGAGGAAGGCTCCAACAGTGACTGCGACTGGACAGGCTGGGGACACTCTACCGGAGGAGAAAGACCAAGAACCTGCTGCAGGAGCGGAACGAAGTACGGTCGAGGCCGCGCGGCAGCTCCAGACTCAGCAGGGACAGCACCAGCACCCTCAGCGGCACCACCGGCGCCACCAACACCTCCAGCGGCTGGACCTCCAGCAGCACCAGCAGGAGAACCACCGCGAGGACAGACAGCAGTAGTCTCAGCACCAACACCCTCAGCAGCCCCAGCTCCAGTAGGACCCGCAGGCCCAGCAGCTCCGGGACCGGCGGCACCAGCACCCTCGACAGTCGAAGAAGCTCCAGCTCCAGCAGCACGCCTCCAGCGGCGAGCAAACCACTCGCGCAGCTCCTGTGGAGAGAGGGGCTCCCGGCGAGACGCAGCAGCAGGAGAAACCCCAGGCTCAGCAGCCCCAGACGCAGCACCCCCAGGCCCAGTAGCTCCAGACGCAGCACCCCCTAGCTCAGCAGCTCTAGGCACAGCACCCCCAGGCTCAGCACTCCCAGGCTCAGCACCCTCCGCAGTAGCACCCCCAAGCTCGGCACCCCCGCGCACAGCACCCCCAGAGTCAGCACCCCCAGGCCCAGCACCCTCCGCAGTAGCACCCCCAGGCTCGGCACCCCCGCGCACAGCACCCCCAGAGTCAGCACCCCCAGGCTCAGCACCCGCAGCAGCACCAGAGTCACCAGTAACCTCGACCGGGTCAACTGCGTCTACCTGGGACACACCTGAGGGGGCAGGAACCTGAGGGGGGGGGGGGTCTACCGGGGGGGGAACCGGCACAAGGAAGTCCGGTGGTGGGGGAAGGGAAGGAGTGCGGTAGGGGAAGAGGCGGTAGAAGGGGACTGACTCGTCGAACGTGACGTCCTGGGAGGACAGAACACGACGAGAGGAGGGGTGGTAGAACTGCCACCCTGGAGCGTCAGGGGGGAAGCCAAGGAAGACACAGGGAGCAGCACCA